CTTATTATCATCATTTATTTCTTGTATTTATTTTATTTGAATTCAACACGAACAAGCATACAGCAGCTTTACTATTTCACAGTTCCTCTCAAGTTACCACAACATAACTCTGTAGTGGCTCTGATCATTTCAATAATATAGATAGGCCCACAATAAAAAAAAAAAATAAAATGCAGGTTTAAGTAGCTTTTCAGAGTTTTCATTGAATGTTTTCCACAACAGAATGGCATTAAAATTACCAGTAATAGTTTTTAGATTTATTTATGTTTGTTTTTAATTATTTTTCCACTAAAATCAGCATCTCAGAAAAAAATCCACACTTTTTCGCTATTTTTTTTCTTAATTCAGAAACAAAATGATTTTTTAAAACATCACAACAATCTCTTCTAATTTTAGGCAAGAGAATAAACATCAGATTCTAATCTCTAAAAATTCAGATCTAATCTAATAATAGAGTTTCTTAGAGTTACTTTTGCCTCAAATTTCTGAGAATATGTGATGAAAGCTTCCATTTATTCTCTCATTATTTCTTCACTGTGCTTTAAGGGGCTCAGCATGTACACAGGTATCTGAAACCGCAGCACCTTGTCTGTTTTAGAGCCTCCATTGTGTTTATTATGGACCTGTCTAATTACTGGAAAACCTGCTTTTGACCTCTTCATATTAGACTTTGCACCGAGACATGAAAAATGACTCAGAAACAACAAATACTCTGTCGAGTATCTCTGAACAGGTTTAATTCACAAGTTTACAGCATTTTCTCCACCGTGCTCACTCACGCTTGTTTTGGTGGTTCGGGTGCGCTCCACACACGCTCCAGATCTGCGTTAAAGTCCCGCCTCCGTTTGATTGACCGCAACAGGCAGATTTTTCCGCAGTTTCTTTTATGAGATTGAAACCCAAAACGGGAAACTGTCAATAATGCGGGGCATGAGTCTGATTTGCGGGACACGTGAAAAGTAATGAAAATGCGGGACATCTGCTCACCCTATCCAGGAGGCAGCCTAACTAGTTTCCAGAGCCACTTTAACTGGCTTCTCTCAATATGGAGGAGCAGCGGATCTACTCTATGCCCCTCCCAAATGACCAAGCTACTCACCCTATTGCTAAGGGAGAGCCAAGCCACCCTGCGGAGAAAACTCATTTCAGCCACTTGTATCCATAATCTCATTCTTTTGGTCACTACCCAGAGGAAGTATTACTAGTACTTAGAATACAGTACCAGGATTGTGCAAAGTAATGAAATACATTACAAAATACATTTTATAGCAGGTATTCAGTGTTCCGTAACTAAATCCATTTACAACATATTCTCCCCAACACTGATTGTAAATACCAGTGTTACGAACCCGGAGGTTTCTGCTCTCCACCAGGTGACCTCCTGCTGCAGGCCTCAGTTCCTGCAGTCCTGCCATACAGCACCAGAGGCCAGAGGAGTGATATGGAGCAGCTGCACCAAATCAGCAATCAGCTGCTCCTGAAGCCTTTTAAGCCTCCTCACTCAATGATTCAGGGGACAACTCCAGATCATTTATCTGTGTACACAGTGGAGATGATAGCTATCTTATTTAGTCTTCAATGGATGGAACAAAATAGAATTAAAAAAGGAATTATATGTACTGATTTGTTGTCTGTATTAGTGTCAGTTAAATTAATGTCTGCCAAAAGTCGAAGAGATATTTTATATGAAATATATGAGACCATATTTAGATTAAGGAAATTGGGTACTGAAGTTAACTTTTTATGGGTACCGGCACATAGAGGAGTAGAAGGAAATGAAATGGCTGATTTTTTTGCAAAAAAGGCTAGAAGAGAGAGAAATACTGGATATTGCATATAGTGCCGCTGAAATTAAATCTATCATTAAAGCACATATAATGGCAGAGTGGCAAAGAATGTGAGAAAGGAAGACATTTATTTCAGATACAAGGGAAAGTAGGAAAATGGAAAAATATAAGGATGAATAGTAGAGATCAAAGAATAATATCAAGATTAAGAATGGGACATACTGGGCTTAATAATACGATGCATCTGATAGGGAAACATCCCACGGGTTTGTGTGGATGTGGGGTGGGTGGAGAAACAGTGGAACATGTTTTATGTGACTGCATAAAATGTGAGGAAAGTAGAGGACAACTCAGGGAGAAATTAAAAAACATAGGAGGTGGAGTGATGACTGTAAGGAATTTGTTAAATGGTGAAGAAAGGAAACATAAGTTGGTTATTGAGTATCTAAAACACAGTAGTTTGTTGAATAGAATTTATTTTTTTATTTTTTTCCGCTCTCACTCCGACTCACACTCCAGCACAGTAGGTGGCGGAAATGCACCTAGCAATTAGATGCCATCCGCCAATAAACTCGAAGAAGAAGAAGAAGAAGAAGAAGATGATGATGATGATGATGATGATTCAGGGGACACAGTGACAGAGCTGACTGTGATTTCTTAGAGACTTTGTTTTAGTAATCCCACTGTTGTCTCCAGTACTGGGGTTTAAGGTTAAATGTTTAGTGCCCCTGTTTGCTAATGTTAAGTTGTGCCTTTTGCCACCCGTTTGTAAATCTCCAATCCTCAGTTTAGTTTGTCTTTGTGTTTTGCCTTTGAGGATTTTAGTTGGGGAGATTTCTAGCTTCCTAGTTTTGATAAATGTGGATTTTCTTTAGGTTTTGGTAATTGATTGGTTTATTATTTTAGTAGCACGTTAGTGGCTGGCTTAGTTTAGTGCTTGGGCTTGATTTTTACAAACTCTGGTGCACCACAAGGGACAGTTTTATCTCCTTTTTTACACTGTATACTGCTGACTATAGGCACAGCTTACCATCTTGTCCCTTACAGAAGTTCTCCGATGACACTGCCCTACTGGGCTTGACCTCTCGGGGTGACGGCCTGGCTTACAGGGAGGAAGTTAACTCCTTTGTTAGATGGTGTCATGTAAATTTTCTACAACTTAATGTTGGCAAAACACAAGAGCTAGTTATTGATTTTAGAAAGGAAAAACAAACATTCTCTCCCGTGGTCATCAAAGGCCAACCTGTTGAAACCGTGGAGACATAAAAATATCTAGGAGTGTACCTCGACGATAAGTTAAACTGGAAAAAGAATAGCGATGCTGCTGTTAAAAAGGCCCAGTCCAGATTGTTTTGTCTTAGGAAGCTAAGATCCTTTGATATAAGTAGGAGGCTCTTGAATGTGTTTTATCAGGGGATTATGGCCAGTGTGTTGTTTTATGCTGTGTTGTGTTGGGGCAGGAGCCTCAGTGCTGAGGACAAAAACTGGATCAAAAAAATGATCAAGAAATCTGGCTCAGTGGTTGGGCAAAGCTTGGACTCATTTGACATGATCATCGACAAAAGGATGAAGTGTTAACTTAAGACAGTTATGTCTCTGCAGGGTCACCCCCTTCACCAGATATTTAAGGATCTCCGGAGCTCTTTTAGTGGGCGAATGTTAATGCCACGTTGTTCCACTGAACGTTTTAGGAACTCTTTTATTCCTGCTGCAGTGTGTTTTTACAACGAGCATTTTGTATGATTGTATATTTGATATTTCTATCATGGTTGTGACTTATAGCTGTGTCCAGTGAATGTTTTGTTGCGTGTGTGTGCATCATGTTGCTGTTGTTTTTTACTTGTAGAGGGCAATTCAATTTCCCCCTTGTGGGGATTAATGAAGACAACCTTGAACCTTGAACCTTGAAATATTTGGGAATTTCAATACACAAAGATTTCACAAAAATGTTTGATATATAGGCCCTTGACAGCAAGTATTAAATCGGATATGCAAAGATGGACTATCACGCTGCCCAGTTGAGACCCCTCGTGTGCATGTTCTCTCCAACCTATGCATCAGGATGGAAAGATATAGAGGAGACATTAATAACAGAGGTACTGTTTAAAGCTCTATTAGCAGATCCCAAACTACAATCCAAATTTAAGCTCCCGCAGGAGCACACTACACAAACAGCAATATCAGTCTGGAAAGAAACAAGTCAAAGGTGTAGCTTGGAGGAAGATTCTAAAATTTTGCGGTGGCCGGCTTTTGACTCGGATTTTACACCTAACAAAGATGATAACAGATTCAGGATGTGGATCTCCAAAGGGTTAACCAGCTATAATTCATTCATTCACAAGGGGGCATTCCAATCATTTGAGACACTGAGGCAAAAACATGGGTTGGGGTCTGATGACTTCTTCCACTATCTACAAATCAGGCATTATTTCAATCAGAAGATTACAATTACATTAACTAACCAAGGTTTTTTACAAACCTTTATCTCACAAACGAAAACAGTCCCCCTTACAAATATTATTTCCAAACTATATGAGGGCCTTCTGAAAAGTAAAGGGGACAACACGTACTACGTGAAAGAAAAATGGGAAAAGGAAGGAGGGTTTAATGTTATTGAGGAGAACTGGGATCATATTTGTAAAATTTCATGGGCCTCAACAAGGTCAAATATCTGGCGTGAATTCTGTTGGAAAAATACAATGCGTTACTTTATTCCACCAAAACAGCAAAGTTACCGGGGAAAGAGAGAGACATGATGGAGATGCAGTAGTGAGGGAGCAAATCATTTTCATTTTTTTTTTTTTTTGGAGCTCTCATAGGATCCAAAGTTACTGGATAGAAATTCGCCAACATATTCAAAATATATTTTCAATGGTCTTCACCCTCTCATTTGTTTATGGGGAATATAGAATCGGACAACCTCAATAATAAAGACTGGAAACTTCTCTATAGTCTATTAGCTGCAAGCAAGAAGGCCATCTCTAAAAAGTGGCTCAAGCCCAATCATCCAACAATGGAGGATTGGATCAATATCACACCGAACATTTACAAAATGAAAAAAATAACCTCTCAACTGAAACTGCAAATTTACTCATTCTACCCCACTTTTAAATTAAACGTGCTGCTGTCGGCAACATATGTGAACCTGCCCCCCCAAGTGTTAAGGAGTTCAAGTGGCTGTTAAAAACAACAAAAGGGAAGACAATTGTTCGCTGTGTTGCAGATTGTATTTTATTTGTGCTTCCTCAATATTATGATAATATAATGATAATATTGTGCTTCCTCAATAACAGCAAACAAAAAAAAATCAACAAATTAGTATTTAAAGAGTATAAGAATTGCACACCTAGCGGCGGCCTATCGGGGGCCAAAACACGGGGTATTTGCATTCACTGCCACACATTGAATAGCAACACTTCATCTCACCACGGCAATCACCATCAGTTCTACAGTGTGAGTGACATCGATGGAAGAAGAAGTCGTCAGGACATTTTCCTGGCTTCACTGAGGAACAACAAAACAGAAACATTCAGCCTCTTTATATTTACCAGCAGTGTGGCAGTATATTAAGAATTTAACTCCTTTGGTCATATTTCACCTATTGTCTGAGTCATGCACACGTGTCCACATCCATTAAAGCAGCATATCTGATCGTCGCCAGGACAATCCGAGTCTTTTGAACACTGCTCAAGACAATTCCCCACTGGATTCGCTGCAAACCCTGGAGGCATTGGACAGCCTGGTAATGCTGAGAGGAAAAAAAGAATAATTAATGCAAAGACTTAAATAAATGGAAATATCATCTTGGAAAATAATGATTTTCCTCGTAAAACTGTCGGGAGATATCTTCTACTATTTCATTCACTGAGTGGATTTAAAAAGATAAAAAAAAGGTTCGTACTTGGAACTGGAGGGGTGCAAACAGATCTGAAGAAAAACCTGCAACATTTCTGATTTCCTGGGCAGTCTCTGTCATAATTACATTGTGGTGATTCCATAAATAAATCAAAGGTGCTCGGACAGTTACCTGGATTCAGAAGAGAGTCAAGTTAAGATTTATCAGTGTCGAGTTATCATACATGAACATAACACACGTGGGAAAAAACAAGCTCACTCACCAGGTTTTGGCATTATTGCGTTGGATTGAACAAAAGCACAAAACAACAAAATCAAGGCAGCTTTTCTAGACCTGAGTGTCTCCATGATGATTTGTCTCAGCCAGAAATCTGCCCCTGTTGTCCTGTTTGGGAATCCCCTGGCTTATATACTGTAACTGGAGCAGCTAGAGGATGCTGGGTCCTTGTGTCTGTAGAGTTACTTCTGCCAATTCATCCAATTCTTTCCATTATTATTTTTTCTTATTTAAAAACGTTTACATTGAAATAATACAAATTAAAATTTGAAGCATGCTGCGACAGTTTCTGATTTGTGGCTTGGTTTTCCATTCTATGTCATAATCAGTTTATTATGGTCATGGCCTTTATTATTTTAGACTTGTTTTACATTTACATTGTTTAGGTTCAGAAAAGTCACGTATGCTTTATGTCGACTTAATGATTGTACAACACAAAATATGTTTATGCCATATAAACCAGTGTGTGTGTGTGTGTGTGTGTGTGTGTGTGTGTGTGTTGTTGATTCTGATTTCATTATTTATGACCCAGACATGTTCCACACATGAGCTCTCAGCCCAGATATTGCCAACATCAGCTTTATTACGAGATCTTTTGTTTGTTGTCTTCCTGCCAGTGGAGATAAACGAGATAAAATGACACTGAAAGTTCAGAGTGATTCGGTCAAAATGTCCCAAAATGACCAATAATCAGATGGGATGATAAAACATACCCTGGCAAATAGGGTGCTGGTGTAAAAATCCAATCATTCGAATCTTATCAGGTCACAGACATTTGGACTTTGCCTTTATTTGTGTTTTTGGTGGTATATGTTTCAGTTTTCATACAAATCCAGTTCAAATTCGATGAAAGCTGCATACATTTCAGCAGAACAGAGCATGATGATGCCATGCACTTTATCTTTTGAGTATCTAAACTTTCCTAAAATATTGCAAACAAACTGGTCTTACTTTCACAAACTTTACAATTATTGTACAGATTATTAAACCGGATGTAGGCATTTTGTTAAAGCATATGCTATTATAAATAAAAGTTTTTTTATTGGGATTCATATGAAGGACGATATATGATGAAACATCAGGCAGTTGCTGCACTCTCCAACTTTTTTATTTATTACATGCATTGTGTACATGTTTTAATTTCCTGCAGAAACTGTTTAAAAGGAACTCAAAGTGTTTGTTTTGATGTTTATTAAAAACAATCGACATGTTCATGCAGGTTTCACTGCTGTTAATAAAATATGTTTAATCCAACTAAATAAATAATGCACAAACAAATTGTAATATTATTAATAATAATAATTTTCAAGCTAATCTTTATGTATTTGCATACAATGTTCTGCATATGTGTGCATGTTTGATGTCACATTTAACCACCCCTCCCCCCATCCAAGAAAAACACAAGCAAAGTTTATTTTTTTTAAATAATAATTTTAATTGATACATACATTTTTTGATTGTATTAATTTATTTATTTTTGGTTTGTTTGCTCAAATTTCATTGTGATCTACAAAGTTATGAAGAAATAATGAAATCACAATTAAGAGACAAATTATGAGCTTCATAGAGCAACAACAGTAAAACTTTGAATGTCTTGACCATCTCTGTAAAAAAAGATCAGTAAGCACTTTCCTATTTCCAAACAATAATTTCTTTCTCAAAGATTAAATAAAATCATATCAACTAATCACTTTGTTTTTCAGTGATCTGATCACTTTTTCACTTATTTTAGGATGAGAGTCGTCTACTGCAAAAGTTAAATGATCTACATCATAAATTTAAAACATGATTTAAAGACTGATTTTCTTCTAGAATAATTAATAATTTTGTGGTGCAGATGCTCAGATGCTGAAATGCCATACTAATTAAAGAAAAAAACCACAAACATAACAAGAGAAAAATAAACCATTTATTTTATTATTTTTGCTAATTTACAATATATGTGTGATCAGATGGGTATCCTGCAGAAATGACCACAGAAAGATGGGCAGCACTTGTCATCCCCTGAACAATAACCATTATCAAGGCAGGTTACTCCACACGGAGAGAAGGTTGGGAAACCGCAAAACCCCGGCTTCACTGACACACCACAGATAAAACCACTCAGTTATAACATATTCTGTGAGAGATCATTCAGAAATGTGGCCATATTGTTCCTAACTCACCTATTTTTGGTGGCATGCACTCTTTTGCGCATCCATTGAAGCAGCATTTTTTACCACGCTTGCAGTCGTCGTCACATTCACACTCTTGCTGACACGTGCCGGTCCCACTCGAGTCAGGACACAAAGCTTTTACTGAAAGCAAATACAAGGCATCATATGGAGAGATATTAAATCTGTTTTTTTTTCCTTTTTAAATAAATATTCATGCTTCGTTCCAACATCCCAACAGCTGCTTGTGTCGGTACCACTCACTGTAATGAGGGGCAACACAAACAGACCCACAGTTATAGGTGCAGCATTTTTCATAATCTTCACAGTCTTGGTCACTGGAACATCCCAAACGTGATGGAAAAGTGTAAAGCGTGTGTGGGCATTGTCCTGGTTTTGGAGGGGGCTCTGAGGGGAGAAACACAAAACAAAAACAGAGCCGGGTTAATGCTGAAGCCAAGAAACATTTGCAGTAAGATTTCAGACGAATACTGTGAAACAGGCAGATGAATGGTACTTACATTGAAGAAAAAAAAAGACTTACCATTGTGTTTGGCAAACAGTGCATAAGAATGCACACACCCAGCTAAAAAAAATTGTTGTAAGAACGTTATGGGAATGTTTATTTTGAATGTTGTAAAAACGTAGAAATGTCCAGTTTTTTTAACGTTACTGGAATGGTGTGTTAACGTTACAAAACATTGCTGGAATGTTTGCTTAAAATTGTTTGAACGATATTTTACAGTTAACATGACGTTAACAGAACGTTATGGGAATGTTTATTTGGAATGTTGTAAAAACGTAGAAATGTCCAGTTTTTTTAACGTTACTTGAATGGTGTGCTAACGTTACTAAAACATTGCTGGAATGTTTGCTTAAAGTTGTTTGAACTTTATTTTATGGTTAGCATGATGTTAACAGAATATTAGCATAACATTACTGGAACCATAAGGTTACTGAAACGTTATTTGATTATTAGCATAACGTTCCCAGAATATGTTCATAACATGGCTGCAAAACTGCTACAATGTTACCGGTACGTTTTGTTAATTTTTGGAAAAACATTGTTGCAACATTAGCAAAACATTGCTAAAACGTTAGACAACGTTCCGGTAATGTCAGGCTAACGGCCAGAGGCGGCGTCAGGCCCGGCTACTTGGGCTGAAGCCCCTAATCTTTAATGAATAGCCCTGGATCTCAAACGTGGAAGTAGCATGCAGTACCAAAGTCCAACAGAGAGGGAGCAGCTAGCAGTAGTTTGTATACAGCCTGCCTGAGCCTCCACCACTGAAGAAGAAGCCCTTCAGCAGCCGGCTTCTTCTGCAGTGCCTGTTTTTTTCTACACTCTGCCTGAAACGCATGTGTGAAGATAGACATAAGGACGTTTTTTAGACCAAAAGTACCACGACAGAACCCCAGCTTTGATGAGACTGGTGTTGACTCAGGTTTGTGAGTCTTATTTGAAAATATTTGTTGTGCTGCAGGTTTGCCTAAAGTTAGCTTACTATCAGGTAAAGTTGTTGGAGAAAGAACGGGAATATTTACTATCATCTCACACTAAACACTAACAGGAACAATACTCTGCCCTGAATATGCTTAATATGTAGCTTCAGATTAAAAATTATGTGGTACAAGACAAATATATATGTTGACTAGTGTGTGTCACGTGTGTGTGCGTGCATGTGTGTGTGCGCGCGCGTGTGTGGAATGTCATCTTAAGGTTAGGAAAACATTGCTGAAACATCGGCATAATGTTTCTGGAACGTTATCTTAAGGTTAGCAAAACAACGCTGGAACATCAGTATTGTCACGATCTGGGGATGTTTAGGACCCAAATATGCAGAAACCCAGGACGACGAGAGGCTGGGGAAGATGTAAAGTAAAATCCTTTATTTTAGGAGTAACCAAACAACAAAAGTAATCCAAAAGGCTGGGAGCCAACAGTCCAAAAATCCAGATAGAGATCTGGAGATCCAAAAATACAAGAGGCACGAGAAGACTAGATCCAAGCACTAGAGGCACGAGAACAACTTGACAGAATTACAACAAACAACAATGGACCGACAAGACACAGAGACAAGACAGGGCTTAAATACACTGGGGCATAATGGGAGACAGATGAGCTGCAGGTGTGTGGAGTGTGGGGGGAGGACCAGGTGAAAGCAATGACTAATCAGGGAAGAAACTAACATGACCTAAGAGTGAACCTAAAAACAGAAAAGCAACCATATAACTACAATTCTAAAGGGAAGGAGAACTACAAAAACCAGTGAGACTAAACATATTAAAGAGACTAATAAAAATGAAAAGCTGAAACTATAAACACTGCAGAGGGATGACCGGCTGCAGAGGGGTGACTGGAGAAGACTAAAGGAACACAGGAGACACATAAATGGGATGTAGACAAAGGACACATGAGGGCGCTATGAAACACAAAAGGAGAACCTGGAGTGGGAAATGGAGGGGCTGGGGAACAAAGGGACACAGAACATGACAAGTATAATGTTTCTGGAACGTTATCTTAAGGTTAGCAAAACATTGCTGGAACATCGGCATAATGTATCTGGAATGTTATCTTAAGGTTAGCAAAACAACGCTGGAACATCGGCATAATGTATCTGGAATGTAATCTTAAGGTTAGCAAAACAATAATGGAACAGTAGATTAATGTTTCTGAAACGTTATCTTAAGGTTAATATTACTTTGCAGTAACATTAGTATAAAATTGCAAAACCTTTACAGTTTCCGAAAGGTTTGAATAACATTGGTTGAATGTTATACTAAAGTAAATATAACATTGCTGCAACGTTAGCATAACATTATTGGAACTTTAGCATAATGTTGCTGTAACGTTAGCATTGTTTCCAAACCATCATCTTAAGGTTAGAGTGACATTGCTGGAATGTTATCCTACGGTTAAAAGAATATTTATTTTACATTATCTTAACGAGAGCAAAATATTGCTAGAATATTATCCTAACGTTAGCATTCTGTTGCTGGAAATAATGTGGTTCTTTTCTAAAAAGCATTATTAGAACTTTCATCAATCATGAATAACGTTAAGACGTTCCAATAATGTGGTTCTTTTCTACCAAACATTATTAGAACTTTCATCAATCATTAATAACGTTGTAAAGACATTATAAGAACGTGGTTCTAAAAATGTTTTCCAACAACATTATGAAAACTTTCGTCAATCACAGATGACGTTGTGAAGACATTATAAAAACGTGGTTCTAAGAATGTTTTCTAACAACATTAAGAGAACTTTAATCAACCATAAATAACGTTGTTACCATGTTCCGAGAATGTGGTTCTAAAATGTTCTCTAACAACGTTATGAGAACTTTCATCAATTATGAATAACGTTGTAAATACATTATAACAACGTGGTTCTAAGAATGTTTTCTAACAACACTAAGAGAACTTTAATCAATAATAAATAACGCTGTTACCATGTTCCGAGAATGTGGTTCTAAAAATGTTCTCTAACAACGTTATGAGAACTTTCATCAATCGTCGTCAACTGCAAAAGTTAAATGATCTACATCATAATTTTAAAACATGATTAGGGGAGGTTTCAACTACCAAGGTGGATGTTAAAAGTAGAGGGTATTTGTAACCTCCCCCTCGCCAGCTGGTATGTTCTAACGTTCCCCTTGGGCGGCAAATACGAAAATTCACAGTCAGAATGCAGTGAGAGTAACGTTTTAGGTAGCAAGAGGGTTAAGGTTAGGATGAGGGTGAGGGGAAGGTTATAAATAGCAAAACATTAAGGTTTAGGTGCAGTTAAATGAGCTGGTTCAATGCCGCATCAGCAGACATCCCATCACGTCAGTTTTACGCTGCATTGGGATCTGCAGTCAGAAAAGGGAAAAACCCCTTTTCGCACATAAGTGACGAAAAAGGCAATGTGTTGAATATAATGGCGATCTCTAAAGTGACATCTAACAATGACATCTCATCCATTTTAAAGGTGACAGAACTCAGTACGAATAAACTAGCCCTAAAAGAAAGAGATCATCAAATAAACATGCACCCACATTCATGATGTTGAGATTTTGTTCAATATGCTTGTATTCTTGTCCAGATTAAGATTAAGAGTTGGGGACTGATGGCACAATGGGACTTGCACAGGAAAGGCCACAATTTGAAGGACAGCACTTCAGCTCATTGCTACAGTCGTTATCATGTTCGCAGTGATCACAACAGCGGGTGCGCCACACATAATCGGGACATTCTCCTGGCTTTACTGAAACACAAAAGCATTCGGTCAGTTTCTAACCTACAGCTGTGTGGGAGGACTAACTGAAACATTTTTTTTTTATCTTTATTTAACATTTTCCTTTATCTCAACATACAAAACCAACCAAAAACACAACGAACACAAGGGGGCACTGTAACATCCTACAAAAGGGAAAAGAAAACGGGGGAAAAAAAGTTATCTCACTAAATGAATTACACCACCATTTCCCTGTAAACTATCCATTTTGTCCAGTATTTATAGTATAGATGGCCTCGGAGGCGTAAGAAAAAGGTCAGCTTTTCCATCAAATGGATATCCTCCACAATGTCCAGCCAGTCTTTTATCCTAGGTGGATCTTCTTTGAGCCAGGACCGTGTAACGGCCTTCTTATATGCCAGAACCAAAATTTTAAAGAGGTACAAGTCCCGGGCCTCAGTCCCTTCATTCGTTACCAGTCCCAGCAGCACGATCTTAGGGTCTAGGGACGTCTCTGCCGAGTATCCTTCCACAGATCTGTAAGATAGAGTCCCTCATCTGCTGTAGCTTTGGGCATAGCCAAAACAGGTGAGAGTGATCTGCTTTTTGATGTCCGCACTTTCTCCAGCACAACCCCATAGTTCCTTGTTGTTTGCTAATAATCTGGGGCGTAATAAAAAATCTTACTAAGCTCTTCCATCCAAAAGTCCTCCATCTTTTAGAATTTGTAGATGTCTGTTGAGTCATACACATTGAAACCCATTCCCCCTCTGTGATCTCCACACCCAACTCTTTTTCCCATCTTGTTTTAATATACAATGTGTTGTTCCTCCTTTGTTCCTGCAGTCCTCTATACAATTTAGATACAGTTTTACTAGGTAGGCACTTATAGGCCTCTCTGAAAATCTTTATAATGGCATTATCTCCGGTAGGTATATTCTTCTTTATTTCCGTGTTATAAAAATGTCTGACTTGAAAGTATTTAAATAAGTCTCTGTGCTCGAGTTTGTACTCTTTTCTCAATTTGTCAAATGTTTTAAAGGTGTTTCCTTCTACGCATTGACATATTGCCAGTAGTCTTCTGTCTCTCCAACTTAAAAAAAGTGGATCAATTTTTCCTGGTTGGGAGCTAAGATTCACAGACGGCCAAATCAACAGCTTTGAAACACTCGTCAAGTTGTATCTACCCTTAATCCTCTTCCATATTATTAAAGCGTCCTCAACTATAACACCTCCATCTTTCTCTGAAGTAATTTTGCCCCCCAGACGTGTGTGGGGTTGGCGATGCCCCTGCTTTAGTTCTATGTGCCTCCATCTAGCTTCCACTTCTGAGGAACACCAACAAACCATATATCTCATTTGAGAAGCATAATAATATCCCCTCAGGTCCGGGAGCGCGAGGCCGCCATGTTTTTTGTCTAATTGAAGGGTCTTGAATTTTATTCGCGGTCTAGCCCCTGACCACATAAATCTCGAGATCAGCCTATCCCAGGCAGAAAATTGGGAGTCTGCAATTCTTATAGGCAGGGACATAAACAGAAACAG